TCTATTTATGTTAACTTTAATCTCCAACTCTAATATTACCAGATCTTGGCACTAGAAATTCAAGACAAGACTATAATGAACTTAACTAGAGCTAAATAAAGTTTCAGTGGTACTGCTTCTCAATAAAGCAAAATGTTTACCTAAATATTGAATCAATGTACATAGCAGGCATTCACCCAGATTCTTTTAGGCACTTCTGCAGGAAAAAGAGGAAAGTCAAGAAAAAACACTGAGGGAGAGAGGGGAATTATAATAAGACATGAAAACTATACATAAAAAGTTATTTGAATATTTGTTTTGCTAAAGTAATGAGGCAGTATGTTGCTGAACCTGTCCTGAATGAAGGAAAAATAAGAGGAAAGCTTATTTAATGCACACTTCTAATCTACCTGTTTTATACAAACCCTTTCAGTTATTTTAAAGTGCTTTTTAAATTAAAAATACATCTGAGAAAAAAAACTAACAACTGTCAAGTATCATAATCATCTTAATGAATCCATAATAGATATATTGTCCTATTTATATGACATAAAAAATGCCACCCATTAATAATTCTAACACAACTCACTGTTTACTTTCTTTTCAGTCTCATTTGTTATGCTGTTACAAAAATGTATGAGTTTTTTCCCCAAAGTGATTTTCTTATTGCAAAAGTCATTAATTTTTAAAATAAAAATCAGTCTAAATAATATCAATGTCCTCCTCAAAAGCATATTCTTACTCATGGTGAAAATCTAATCTCCTGTTCTACCCATCTTCATTTAAAACTCGTGACATCACATTTTCACACTCCTAAAAAGTAGGTCATTAACTTTAATTTTGTGAGAATTGGAACATTTTTAAAAATGGTTGTTTTACTTTGCATTTTTATTTCAAACAAAAAAAATAAATATAGATCCATTAATTTCATGGAAATTAACTTGTTGTTTAGAAACTTGTGAGACATTCTAAAAGTTACTATAAAAGATATGAAATATCGCTGAATTTTTGAGAAAAGCAGAAAGCATTGGCAGACTTTTGGTCCAAACCAAAATAGATATGTTGACATCAAAATCCATGTAACACAAATAAATAATATTAAAATCTTTCCATTCAAATACTAAACTGTGGACAAGATTCCAACCAATTAAAAGTACTATGCCCAACAAACCGAAGTAATCAATATTTGGAGGGCTTTTTGTAAAATGCAACAAAAATGCAACTGTAAACAGAATCTCCAAGAAAGATGGAAAAGACAAATGTAGAACAACTTTCTAGAAGGAATAGTGCTATTTCCTAAATGTACAAGTTGTGTAGAGAAGAGTATTCCCCCCCTCCCACCTCACCAGACATACACACGCACGCACGCATGCATGCACAATTTATTTTTCTACAATGGTGGTCTGTAAGAAGAAGGAAAAAAAAAAAAGAAATGGTGTAAGAAAAGATCAGGAAAGACTACTTTCCTTCCTTTAGTGATCCTGGTGGTAAACTCTCTGCCTCACAAAAAACACACCAGAACCAAGATACACAAATCATTTTGGCTGCAAGCCTGTATCAGTGCCAGGCTGTTTGTTATTTCTGAGCTAGACTCCCTCAATTGAGACAGTATGGGATTGTCACTCTGATGCACAAAAAGAACAAAGAGTAATGCTGCATGGGGTGGTTGTTGGGTTTCTGTCTTTTGTTTGGGGGTTTTGTTTTGTCCCTTTTAAGTCAGGTTAGCATTTTGCTTTTCTTTGACTGGTGGTATTGAAAAGACCCAAAAAGCAAGAGCTGCACCAAGGAATGTATCAACAGTCTAAAGAAATTAAAGATAAGTGCAATATTGCTGACAGTTTAGGAGTCATGTGAGAAATTTACATTTTTAGAATTTAGACTTTACAAGGCTGTAAGTCATTTATCTATTGGAGAGGAAGAGACGAAGAAACACATTTTTCACAACTACATAATTATATTTAAAATATGATCATATGAAGGTAGACTATAAAATCTAGCAAAAATGAAATTGATTAAACTATTAATATTTTAGGCTACTACATAGAATCAATCATATCATCTGCCATTCTGACTTTGATAACCCTAGAATTAAATAATCTGAGGAAAATGTTATGCTAGAAACCTAATATTTTTTATGCCTTTAACAAGAAAATATATATATATATATATGTTTCAAAAATATGTGTGAAGGATTAAACCAGAAATCATCTAGAAAGCTGCAACAGACACAAACAGGAAATCCATCTCTGCTATCCTATTCAATTCTGTACTAGCAACAAAGTTAACACAAATGAGAAGGCCAAATATGTGCTGTTTCAACCTCCAACTAAATATACTATCTGAATCTGGGGACTAAAAACACCAATAAGCCATTATCTCCTAGAGTACAACCTTTCTCTAATGTACAAGAGAAGTACATGTGGAGATCCATTTTCTACACACCAGTTTTGAAGAAAGGATGAACTGTGTGACAATGTCAGATCCCATGCTGGCATATGTTACACTAAGCTCAGCATCATCTAGAATGAGTATGTCTCCCTGCCAATCAGGGAGGAGGGAGAACAGTTGTGTAAGTGTTGACAACAGCACCTACGGTCTTCTAGCCCCTTTCTCCTGCACGTTTCCACTGATCAGCTGTTACATGAAGACAGTGGCTGTTACAGAAATAGCAAGAACTAAAGCACTTGCCTCAGATGTTACATATGGAGGTATGGAGCATTTACCACCTGAGCCTATGTAATTTCTAACAAGATTCCCTGCCCAGCTTTGTTCACGACCATAGAATCTGACAATAAGTCATGATCTGTGCTGGGAAGGGTAGAGGAGGAATGAGAACATGGAGAAAAAACTATGTGAGAATAGTGGCCAAATTTCGGACAATAACCATGCTTCCCACTACTCAAATCAATATACAGATACAATACTTTAGGATGACAGCTATACTAAAGGGTTCAGGAATACGGGTTTATTATGGGTGGCATGGATAACTCTGCCATGTTACATTATTTCACTCTTCAGTCTTCTCCTTTTACATTTTCCTTTCTTTCCTATAGGACAAACTGCTGGTGCGATTACTATGTGGGACAATGACAGCTGAAAGTCAGGCATTCGTGTACTGCCAACATGAGCCAAATAATGATGTCTGATTGGCTTTACCTCAATCACAATTATAAGTCAAAACCAAAAGGCAAAAATAATGAAGCATGTGAAAGAAGACAGAGAATACGCTGCTTTGGTCTGTTTATTCATGGTGCAGATGAAATGGTGGGGGTGAAGTGGCAGGAGGATCTAGAAAAAGCATCTAAACCAATTCAATTACAAGGAAAGATTAAAGGACTTAATGTGTATAACTTGGCTGACAGCCAAGAAACAATATGAGAACTGTCCACAAGTCTCCAAAGTATACACATAAAAAGACGAGTAAGGAATTTTCATCTACTCTCTAAGTGTGAATATATGAAATAATGATGAGATAAAATAAAAAAAAAATTTAAAAAAAAGAGGCCGAATGTGGTGGTGCACGCCTTTAATCCCAGCATTTGTGAGGCAGAGGCAGGCGGATCTCTGAGTTCAAGACCAGTCTGGTCTACAAAGTGAGTTCCAGGCCAGCTGGGGCTATAAGGAGACCCTGTCTCAAAAAGACAAAAATAAATAAATAAATAATAAAAAAAGATAAAATAAAAATAAAGAAATCTGACTTTCAGAAGCAGAGAAACAACCTAGTAAAACAGAAAAGGCTGCTTCTTTGTCTTTAGAAATATTGATCATCCGGGGCTGGAGCCATGGCTCAGCAGTTAAGAGTACTGACTGCTCTTGCAGAGGACCCGGGTTTGATTCCAGCATCCACATAGCATCTACCAACTGTCCAGTTCCAAGGGAATCCAAAGCCCTCTTCCGACCTCCGCAGAACTGCACGACATGGGTATACTCACATACATGCAGGCAATATACTCATATACATAAAATAAAAAAAATAAAATTTTTTTAAAAAAAGAAATATTGATCATTCAACTCATCCATATTGCAGTAAATAGCACATGACAGGAAATGCCATATACTTCCAGAGGACTAGATTGAGGGAGATTTTTGTAAATGGGGAGAACAAATATATGTTCACCCTAAACAGGGGAACAGGTACCAAAGACAAACCAAAGTCATAATTCTACCAAAATCCAGCTTGGTGAACCAATGAGTTCAATTAAGGCTTAGAGAAATGGGATAAAGGGTTAGTTACAGAACATGAGAAATATAAGCAGATACAACATTCAAGAAGAGGTTCTCCCCCAACCCCATCCGTACTCCACCCCCACTACCCAGCAACTGCTAACCTAACTTCTTGATCCTCAGGCACAGGAGACTTGTGATGCCTAGTGAGCCACTCATGAGACCTTCTGCACCACTTCATGAGATGTTCCTGAGCCCCTCTGTCTGAGCTACTTCTGCACTCTCATCTGCCTACTGTGTGCCACCCCATACATTCTCTAATGTGTGCCTCTCCTCCCTCCAAGAGGAAATTCTGGGAGGGTAATCACAATTACTCTGATTTTAAGACAACCCTCTAGGACAACAGTATTCCATGACAAACTCCCACTTGCTTACCTGATGATCCAGATGTACTAATGTGCAATCTGGCGTAATGCAAAGGTACCTGCAAGGTCAAAACGGGCAAAGTTAAGCTGTTGTCTTCAAACTAAACCCAAGATGAATTATGAATCATGACATGGACAAGAACTGATACACATAAACTAATGTACATGACATACAGGGATACTCTAGGAAAAGAGAAAAAAAATATAGATAGAGGCCATGTGCCCACTGATTTTTCAGTTATTTTTAGTTAATAAGAACTCACTCAGTCTTCCCAAAGATTTCTGAAATCAACTGCAAATAAATAATAATAATTCAGATTAGAAGTCTTAGCTTGCCTAATGGATATTCTTCAGAAGTCTGTGCACTCCTAGTAGATAAAATTTGTCAGTTTATGTAAATATATATCTCTCAGTAGAGACAGTCAAGTTTTGGTTGATTTCTAAGCAAATAGGGACTTTCTGAAAGCTCAGAGATTAAATTGGATAGAAAAATGATCCTCAGTTCAAGTTTGGGGTTTCCACCAAAACACAGAGGTACACAGAGACTTGCTGGCATGGGGTAGATACCTTAAGAACTCTACTCTCTGAAAGAATAAAATAGCAGATGTAAACTATTATTGTAGTTAGATGGCTCTTTTCTCCCTATAAGCTATGTACAATCTTGAAGAGAACTAATGTTACCACAATCTCAATGATGGGTATCATGACTTTTCCAGTTGTGAATATGATATTCATGATCCTTAGGTATATCAATACTGACAGAGTAGAATAACAAAGTAACTCACTCAAAAAGGACCATATGACAAGGATAAAAGGTAGAGCAGTGAAAGCAGTATGAAATGGGGTTCCTAAACAGTTTACATACCACAAAATTATAGAATTACCCAAACATATTTAGTAAGAGAATGATTTTAAGCAGTAATCACAGTCAGAATAACCTAACTGAAAAGGAAGTCAGTCGAGAGAAACCTCCAAGCACCACCTTTGAACAAGACAGAAAAGCACATTTTGTTCATACCTTTACAGCCACAGAGAATTTAAGCTGGGGAATGCAATCCAAAAACAGAAGCGGGTAAGGAGAGAGAGGGCTGCTTAAAAAGGCAAAAATAAAACCGAAGGATGAAAAAGATACTATGCTTTGAGAACAACCCATTTCTCCTTTTTTTTTCAGATAAATATTTGTTCTATTAATTCTACTCTCTCGAAAAGGCAGGCTTACAGTCATGTGTATATACTTTTGATTTTTCTATATACTATGACTTATCTGAGTTTTAAGATAACATCCAATCAATTTCTGAGGTTATGTGCTTGGAATCATATTGAAATTTAGTCACCAATTTTTACTGAATTTTTGCAAATTTCGTACAATAGAATTTGATCATATTTAGAATCCCCCTCCCCTATGTGCACCCTTTTGATATCCCCCACACTGGATTTCATGTGCTCTGTCATATATATGAAGGCCTACTGAGCCAAGTTTGTGTCCCCAAATGTCCATCAGTGTGCAATCCATCCTTTGAAGCCTGATTAACCTATTTAGTGTCACACTCTTTAAAAAAGTCAACTGTCCTTCTCCCAGTAGTTATTGGTAGAACCTGTTTCAATGATCATGTAATAGACTGTCTCAAAAGATAGTCTGTTTCGACATTAGCCTATTGATCATTTACTAGGCATCGTACCTGCAACTGAGAATTCAGCAGTGACCAGACAAGTCAAATAAAGCTATGGCCTGCAAAAACTTCATTTGGGGGAGCAAGAGAAGCAAAAATGTTTATCAGCAATATCATTTCAAAAGTTGGGATGATATGAAGGAAATAAAATGTAAGACATAAGAGAATGGTCTCTATAAATAATCTAATACATCTCAGAGATCCTCAACCCAATCCCTAGTCATTCAGGGTCTTAAAAAATTGAGACCAAGAAGGAATATGAGGAGAGCTGACTAGACATTTACAAGAAAGGTATTCCGGAAGACAAAGTATCACAATTTCATTGGTTGCACACTCCAAAATTCACTTGTAAGTCCTGATTCTATGATCCACACTCAATGATTAAAAGATAAGCCTAAGATGAAATAACTGACAGCATTTCCATATACTTCAAAGGACTCTGGATAAAGATGCTGTGCACTGTGTACCCTTAACACAAAGAACACATTTTATCCAAATTCTTGTCAACTTCCATTCAATTAAAAGTATTTGGTTAGTCCCTACAGAGAAATCTGATCAATTCCAAAAGTCAAAGAAAGAAGAGGCAAAGTAGCCTATTCCCAGAGAGGACCCAAATAATCCTCATCTCAGGTAACATATGCCTTTGTGCAGTGATCGCCTTAATGTTAGGGTTGATATGAGTAAACAACAGGTGTAGTAAAAGTGATGGTGTCTGCCATGAATGATAATACAGCTTCGTCCTTCTCCTGTTATACCACTAATTTGGGATGATATCTGGTGCTAGCTCTTGTGTAAGGACAGTCAATCATCCCTATGCCATGGTCTACATGGGCTGTCAATTAACCTAAATCAATATTTAACCGATATATGAGTGAGTGAGCTATATTTTAAGATCATCTAGGCCAGTAAAACCATCAGATAACTGTCTCCTCCTAAGCTGACACCTTGATTGCAAATCCTGAAAGGCTAAGACTCTAGGGATGCCTTTTCTTTTTTAAGATTTATTTTATTATGTGTATCTTTGTGTGGGCATGTGCATGTGAGGACTGAGTCAAAACCCCTGGAGCTGGGCTTAAAGGCAGATGTGAGTTGCCTGAATGTGGGTGCTGGGAATCAAACTTGGGTCCTGTGTAAGAGCAGTAAGCACTCTTAACCACTAAGCCATCAATCCAGACCAACTCTAAGAGCTTGAATTGTTAAAAAGTGCATTTCCAGGCCAGGTATGGTGGTGCACTCCTTTAATCCCACCACTTGGAAGACAGGTGCAGGCAGATCTCTGTAAATTTGAGGCCAACCTGTTCTACACAGCAAGTTCCAGGACACCTGGGTCTACAGGGAGACCCTGTCTCCAAAAAAAAGTACGTTTCCAAGGTGCTGAGAAAAATGCAGGTTCAACCAAATCTACACATGATTTAGAAAGGAGAAATGATCAAATCAAGGCAATAGTTGACTATGAGGTCAAATCTTATGGTGAAAGCCTTTTTGTTCTTCTGATAGAACGGTACTGACATACTGAAATTATCCATAGGTTCAAAGTAGCAAGCAGCAGTGGAGTTTACACTGAAACAGTATCACAGGATGTTTCTGTTTCTTTGGCTTGTGCTGTTCCCAGTTTGTGAAAATTAAATAGCAATAACATATCCCAATATGCTTAAACTATTATAGCCAACTGTCTGCAGTGCAAGCAAGCATTTGCCTTCAACTAATAACAATTTAACAAACAGAAATTCTTTTATTTTGTAACACCTGTTCTTCAATCTCATGTCTGACCTCTTCTATTAATCCATCTGTGCACAGAATCCTATTCACATGGTATATCTGGGAACTTGCTCCATCGTTGTTGGTTTTGTTTTGGTTTGGTTTGGTTTTTTTTTTGTCTTTTTGAAGCAGGGTCTCCCTGTAGGCCCAGCTGTCCTGGAACTCACTATGTAGCCCAGGCTGGCCTTGAACTCACAAAGATCTGCCTGCCTCTGCCTCCCAAGCGCTGGGATTACAGGCGTGCGCCACCATGCCCGGCTTATCTTTGATCTTTACCTTTCCATTGCCTCCTTGTTCTCGTTCACCAACAATATACTTCTTACAAACCTACCAACTTCCCTTATCAAGCTTCAAAAAATAATACATACTCATGGTCTTTCTTCAACTTATATGCAGTGCTCAAATTAACACAACCTAATTTTCCTAGCCATCACTTTAATGAAATAGCTACGGAAAGTTTGGCCAAAGTCAACCAAATTTCCTATTTTGGTAGAGGCTCATTTTTTTTTCAGGAATTCTCTAGGCATTGTGTTAAAGGCTAATATGGTTTCAATTTACTCCTGACTTCAGAACTTCAATTCTATGTTTTTACTTACTGACCACTCTAAAATCCCAAATTTCCCTGTTTTTAATAATAAAAACTCATTTCTCATTTCTATCTATTTGATATAGGTTGCGTGACAAATTATTTCAAAATATAAGAAACCCCTCCCAAATTTAAAAGGAAAACTTTAAAAGTACTTTAGTGTCAATAGCTATGGTGGTTTGAATTAGAAATGTCCCCAGAGAATCATGTATGTGATCATTTGGTCCCCATTTAGTGGCACTGTTTGGGAGATTATGGAAGTTTCAGGATGTGGAGACTCGCTAGAGAAAGCATATCATGGGGGTGGGTTTTGAGAACTCAAAGTTTCACGCCACTTCTAGTTCTATCACTGTGCTTCCTGGGTTCAGATGAGATATGATCTCTCAGACTCATGCTCTGGTCACCTGTTGTCGTGCCTCCCCTGCCATTATGGACTGCCCCTCTGGAATCTTAAGCAAAAATAAATACACAAATTGCTTTTGGTCATGGTGTTTTATCATAGAAACAGAACATAACTAATACAATAGGTATGGTATGCAACATCAATAGGCATATCTGCCTGCTATGAACTGGAAATATGGCCCCTTTGGACTAACAGACATAGTAGGAATACAATACACAATGAGTTTCAGAAACAATGCAAAAAAAACAAGAATGCAAACATTTTTAATAATGTTATATTGATTGCATGTTGAAATAGTAATTCAGATATATTGGGTTAAATAAAATATATTTGGAAGATTAAGCTCACTTCTTCTTACTTTTTAATGTGCCTATTACATTTTTTTAATTATGTGGTTTGCATTATAATTTTATTAAATAGTATACAAAAAAACAGGAAGAAAAACACAGTATTCACAAACAGTAAGAAAAAGAGAAAAGTGATCTTTTTTTTTCATACACAGCCTATTTTATCTTGACAATTTTACTATTTTATCTCAAAAGCTTGTGAATTGGCCATTTTAAAAAAAAGAAAGAAAGAAAAAGAATGAGAAAGAGGAGTAGCTGCCGCCACTAGGAGTGTTGCTCAGGCCTGCAACCTCAG